CATCATCGTTATTCAATTACATTTTATCATTATTGGCAATTATTGTCATTATCACGAAAGCTAGCGTCAGCTCGCTAGAGTCTTCTTGCTTTAGCACGTATTCCGGGGCTCCCCAAGGACATCACGTGATTTTTCCCGCGAAAGGGCCCCCCCCTGCCCCCTCCCCCATATATATCATTGTTATATATCATATATCAATATATCATTGTTGCATCCTCGTTGGGACGAACAATGCCGCGACACGATGATGACAGTCCTTCCGCAACTCACCTCTTCCCTTCCTTCTTTCTCCTACCCCGCTAGCTTTCGTCATCCACCCCCGGCCTCAAGTATGATTGGACAATTTTGTGCTAACCTCCAGATAGCAACAGTACAACCATTTATCAACTATGTTCGAGAATTTTGGTGGGCCAGGCCCTCGAGTAGTCGGAACTTTGACGAACCAAGGAGGAAAAGAAGCGAAAGAAACGCAAAGTCACCGCGTTTCAGGAAGCCTTGAAGTTAGAGGAAGAGGCCACCGCTGACAGGTGCGGCTTGTGTCCATGGTGCATAGATGGAAATGAAGGATTGCGGATCACCTGAGGTTTTGAACAAACCTATGGACCTATATATGTTCAATCATGTTCAATCCACAGCCAGGTAAACCTCGAGCTGAACCTTGCACCCTGCAGAGCTGTGAGCAAAAAGGAGACGGCCACCAGGGGACCAGAAATAAAGTCATTGTTAGCTTAGATATTGTTGGTGGATGTTAGTACCACACTTTGTAGGCCAACATGAGTTAAAATGCTTGCTTTTTGGCATTAGATATATAGGCCAATTTGAGCCAATCAGCGAATCCCGGGTTTGTGGGCCAAAATTTGTATGCAGATTGTAAAGAGATAATAAAACACACACAGACACACACACACACATATATATATATACATACATACATACATACATATATATATATATACATATATATATACACATATATATATAATCTAGATAGATAACATAGATATACCTGTGGCCCTTTCTTTGGTGTATCTAGCCAAGGATCATGAGCTGATGCTCATGGCGAGTTTAGGTGGGACAAGGCTGACCTCTAAACTGAGGTTAGTAAGGGGAACCACCCCAATCATTTCATGTCTATTCTAATTTGCCCAGATGTTATGATATTTTTTGATTCTTTATGTATCATGCATGTTTATATATGTTTATCGTAGTTATTTCGATGTATTAGCCATTTTGTAAAGGATGCAGGTGGAATGCAGGTTCAATCTGCATGTCGCTACTCCCCCAATGTTGTTTGTTGGGCCCCGCGGCCGCCAGACGATCAAAAGCTGCACTGAGTGATGGTGGTGGTAGAGGTGAACCCCCTTTGCCAATCTAGTCTAGGGGGCTCTAACCAAACCACCCCAAACAGTGCTAAGGAACAGTGAATACAAGATAGAAGGGCTATTTTGCAGAGGCAAAACAATGCACAAGAATGCAAAACCAAGCAAGTTCCCTTCCAAAAGGAAAGATACCTTGGTTCAAAGCATTTGGTTGTAGAGTGGTCCGTCGCAATGGACAGAATGAATGAGCCCTTTCAAAAGAGGACAACATGTGAGGAGATGCATTTCCATCAATTTTCAGGGTGACCCCTATATTTCGGTGACAAGATCATCCTCCCAGAGCCATGGATCCTCCAGCCCCGCCACCCGAGTTGCCGGAGCCTCCTGCGCCACAGCCGCCTGAACCGCTGGGCCCTGTGGAGGCCGTCTGTCGGCTGCAGCGCTGGTACCGGGCGCAGGCGCGCCGGCGGCGATTTCTGGTGATCGTCAACCGCGCGCGGCGGAGGAGGAAGTACCTGGAGGAGAGGAGGCGGGTGGCGCAACGCGTCTATGCCACGGAGGCACCGGGCAACAAACAAGGAGTGGGGTGCAGGTGCAGCGTGGATGATGTTTCACAAAATTGTGGGAGGATGGAAATATAGCAGAACAATGCCACAGTCACCAACAATTGCTTACATGCACAGGCCATCATAGACCTTATTTGGCGTTATCACCTTCAAAGACTGACCCAGTTAAACCATGTTAAACCCACAAACCCCATCATAACTAGTCAGGTTGGGTGCTGCCTTTCCAGCACCGTGCCCTTTAGCCAGGCGGTGATTGACGAGATGAAGGCGCGCCTGGCCATGCCCTTTGGGCACCGCCTGGTGGGACGCTACGCAGAGGCGAGGGAGGCGGAAGCGGCCACGCGCGTGCAGAGCTTGTGGCGCGCCGTGAGGGCCAAGAAGAAGTTGGTGAAGCTGGTTGGGGAGCAAAAACTGCAGCAGGTGGGGGTGGTAGAATCAGTACAATGTTATCTCAGGATGAGCAAAACGCGCTATGAATGTAGGGGGGTTAGCAGTTAGCATTTTTGTTAGTGATTTGTGACTTGTGGAGGTACGAGGGTTGACATTAATTATTTGAAATCCAAAGCCAACTGGATGGCGGGCACGTTGGAACATGTTGGAACCACAATTTCATTT